TTTTGAATTGTGGTGCCCAGAACTGGACACATTATTCCAAGTGAGGCCGGACCAAAGAAGAATATTACTTCCCTTGACCTAGACACTATACTTCTATTGATGCAGCCTAAAATTGCATTGATCTTTTTAGCTGAGGCATCAAACGTTTGACTCATGTTTAACTTGTGGTCTACTAAGACTCCTAGATCCCTTTCATGTGTAGTCTCATTAAGCCAGGTGTCCCCCATCCTACATCTATATCTATATCGATATGTATGCATGTCCCTGCAATTGTTGGCCCTATCAGCAACTGGCCAATGATAGGAGACTATGAGATTTTAGATCCCAATTTTGAAGGCCCCATGCTCCTCATTTCTGGGGAAATACCAGAACAGGCTGAACATCATCTCCCAGAATAGATACCAGATGTCCCTTATTACAGTCAGTGCTCCATATATGTGGAATTTTTTGTCTATGGCTTCCACCATCCTCAGTTTGAAAATATTTTTAAAATATGTAAATTCCATAAAGCAAACCTTGCCATTTTATATGAGGAACATATATTTTAATTTTGCCATCGTATATGAGGAACACCATCTTACTGTCCCATTGTATTTAATGGAATTTGAGCATCCATGGATTTTGGTGTCCACAGGGGGTCCTGGAACCAACCTCAAATGGATACCAAGGATCCACTGTACATGAATTTCACGATTCATCTAATACAGGGGTAGGCATCCTTTTTGAGCCAGGGGCCAGGTTGCTGTCCCTCAGACAATTGGGGGGCCAAAGCACCATAAAATAAATAAATAAATATGCATGCACACTCTCTCAGCTCCAGAAAAGCCATGGCAAAACCCCTGTGGAGATTTTGCCAAGAAAACCCCAAAAACAAGTAATAACAACAATAATCAATATCATCATGGCGGGCAGCAGCAGTGGCAAGAGCGGCCTAGGGTTGGTCCAAAGGCCTCAGGGGGGCGCATTCGGCCCCCGGGCCTTAGGTTGCCTACCCCTTATCTAATAGATGTGCATAGTCCATAGTCCTATAGATGTGCTGCATAGAGCATGATTTGTTCCAACAGTGCCATGGTGTTTGCAACTACACTTCTATGGCATTCATATTCCCATAAGCTGCTTTGTGCATTTTCTGAAGTGTGGATGATTATACTGATGAAGAAGCCTCAGAGGTCTAAAAAGGTATTTTAATATGATCAGTAATAAATAAATAAATCTCTGTTTCTGTTCTTGCCACTGCACCTGTCTATGCACTTCTTGTGTGAAGCTGCCATGTGACTTGATGTATTACATTTCTTTCCTTCCTTTCCACAAAAAAACAGTGTTCAAAGTGAATTAGAATAATACAAAAACAGGCTAAAATTTTAAAATAGTTAAAAACAAATCATACAGATTAGACAGAATAATTATTAAAATCAGTGCATTAATCAAGGAATTAAGACCAATGAAGAATTGTTAAGATAAATTTGAAGACTATGGAGGAGGGAGAGGCAGAAGTCACAGTGACATTGATATATAATATCTAATAAGACACTGGTAGATGCCATTTGTACCTCTCTCTGGATCCTGTTACATTCTACCCCATTCCCACAACTGTATAAATATCCTTTATAACCTGAAGCTTCAGTATCCCTCTAAACTGCATCCAAAGAAGTGGGTTCATATCCACGAAAGGCCATGCTAAAATAAAAACCAGGTAGTATTAAAGGTACTGCTTCTTGTTGCTGTGTGCCTTCAAGTCATTTCTGACTTATGGCGATCCTAACACACATCTGTCATGGGTTTTCTTGGCAAGATTTGTTCAGAGGGTGTTTGTCTTCACCTTCCTCTGAGGCAGAGAGAGTATGATTTGGCCAATGTACATTCCTTCCCCTACCCTTTCCTTTGCGTTCCTTCCCTTTTTCATTTTTATGTTGCAAGAGATTAACATGGTAGCTACTATGAAAACTATCTGCACTGCATTACTATACATTTATAGATTTCTAGCCACTTATCTTTTACAAATAAACTGTATTTATAAACTGTATTTAGTTTATCTTTTACAAATAAACTGATCCCTCAAGTTTAATCACATCAATATTAAGAAACATAGTAATGGTAAAGACTCAGTGTCACTGAACGATTTATATTCCTCAACTGTCCATAGGGAATACTATGTATAATAATATTTAGGCTGCAATCTTTTCTATGTTTCCCAGGAATGAGATCCATTAAACTAAATAAAACTTACTTCTAGGTAAATATGGAGACCACTGCACTGTTAGCAGAATACCTGTAGTTCACTACCTCCAACATTATGACATATTAATATTAGCAAAATGTATGTACTCATTTTAGCTAACTGAAACTGCAAAGTTCAAAATTATTCCTATTGGTTAGCTTCGGCATTTTTTTCATTTGCTTTTATTTTAATGTTTCTTTGAAAATTCTAATGCTGTCCACTGAAAGAAAGAAAAAATCCACAAGACTTGATGGACTATTTGTCGTATCTGGTATGGCATTTCATCCGTTCATCCCTGATTAATTACTGGATTAATACTACATTTCACAGTAACCAAGCAGCAATTTGTACAAATTTGTTTAGTCAAGGGAAGAAGCCCCCCAAAAAATGTTAAAATGAAACAATCTAACAAAGTAAGAAGAATGTTTTAAGAAAAGATATTACAACTGCATCTAGTGGGAGTAAAATGAAACGCATTATCAAAGTGTAATGAAAAAGAGAAGGTAAAATGTTATATTATAGATGAGATTAGAGGATAGAGATTACCTAAGGGTTTTCACAAACCATATTTTTACATAATAATTTTGCTTTCTGTACAAAAGGAAAGAGCTGGTCATGCCTTAAAAGACACTGATAGACTTTACTCATATTTAGACCAGATTCGCTTTGCTTTTCTCATAAGTGAAGAATATACATTCCTCACATAAAGGCCCCATATTTCTTATAATCATCTATATAGTATCAGGTAGTATTGCATTGCATATTTTAAGAATGTTGGTAGCAGCAGTCCGTATAGATCTTTTTACTTCTTGAGCCTTTTATGCTAATGCCAGTCAAGTTCTCTTTTCTTCTGATAATGTTGCTGACTGACACTGTAAACCAAAGCCATAAACATAGGACAGAACCAAGAATGTGTGCTGGATGGATAAACATATACTGGAATAAATTAGGTGGGTACTGGCCACAATCACTCATCTTTCTTGTTTCTTGAAGGGCAAAGTTCTTCAAATTGATTTAATTGATGTGTGGCTTGAAAGTGAGTATGTAGGAAGGAATTAAAATGAAGAACACGCATAGCCCATAACCAAAAGGGCATTTATAATACTGCTGATCCTAAAACAGTGTCCCTGATTTTGCATGGTTATTGGTCCCTTAAAACTTTTTTTTTTTTTAAAGGGCCTGCATTTCCCCCAAAAAGGTTTCAGCTGACTAGAGTTTTTTTTCTGGGACACCTTGCTCCAAATCAGGTAGCAATGTGCATTGGTAGCTATTTGTGATTCTGATTTCTGCTCGCTTGAATCTACCAGGACTGTACTTATACTGGACTGACATGTCATGCATTACTCTGACCTAATCCTTGACAGACCTGATTTACTTTGAGCAGATTGACTTCAGCCACTTCTTGACTGAACTTGACATACTGTAACTTGAATGAGTGAATCCAGCCTACTTGGCTTGATCTGACTTCATGTGGATCTGTCTGATGGGTTATAAGTCCCAATAATCAGGATACAGATGTTTGATGTTGCACTAGAAGAGTTTTAGCGAAAAACTCTATAGTTGATGACAAGTGATGTGCTGAAGTGTATCTGTGTATTTTTGTCCTCTCAGTCCTAAAAACGACATTGGTAAGGAGAATTTAAATGAGAAAACCAAGTTTGACAGAAGAATAACATATCTTCCAATGATCACATTCTCCCCCCCCCCCCCCCCCCCCCCCCCCCCCCCCCCCCCAGGATTTACCAGTTGGTTCCAGTCCAGTTTTTATTCTAGGGCAATTGAAGATTGGTGAGAAAAGTCAGGTTCCCAGGCTGTGCCATGCATCAATTATTTTTTTATTTAAAAAATTGCATCTGAGCCCTCTAATAAAAGATTAAGCAAAATTACAGGAGTGTGTTGGAGTGGTTTCTGAGCAACTCAGGCCCTGAGATGTTAGCAATGGGAGTGATCAGGAGGAGTTAACAGAAATGTGAGGGCTTACTATCTACAGGAGCCTGGAGAGGGTGAAGTTCAGAAAGCAACAGAGGATAGGGATAGTGTGTATTTATGCATTTCTGTATGTGCCTATGTGTGTGATAAAGAGATAAAAAGACTCTGTGAGAGACAATTAAAAAGAGAAGTGTGTGAGAGAAAGAGAGAGAGGAGAGAGAGAAGTGGAGAGAGTGTGTTTTTGTGTGTTTCTATCTGAGAGGAAGGATGAAGGCTATATGTGTTTGTGAATGGAGGAGGGAGGTGGGAAACTGTGTGTGCTTGTGTATGCATAAGAGAGACAAAAGAATGATTTTTCTTCAGATGCTTTGAACCACTGAAAGTAAAAATGCTCAGAGCAGAACTGGACATGAAGAAAACCAGCTGTCAATAATAAAGAGGTCCTCTCAAA